TGCAGAAACAACCTCGAGAGACGACATTATAAAATTTCCAACGTGCTCGGACACTTCCGGGAGACTGCTCGAACATTTTGATGGTTAGACTTGGCCGGTTGCATTTTATCATGCATTTCTGGCGGTTCGGCTTTTCACTGCATTTTGGCTCATTCAATTTGTTTTTTTTTTTATGCATTTCAGGCGATTATATTTTCATATGCATTTTAAACGGTCAAATTTTCATACACTTTAGGCGGTCCAATTTTTATAATGAATTTCAGGCGATTCTATTTTATTATGCATTTTGAGCTGCTCTGCAAGGTTCTCTTCAGAGGCTGATCCGGGGGATGTGTATCAAAGTGAACAATATAAAGCTTGATTCATTTCTGAGGAAATTTCATTACGCATCTAATTTTTTTTTGTTTCTTTTTTCTACGTAAAAAAGTGACAATTTCGAGGGTCCATTTTAGGCGGTTTAAATGAATGCATTTCAGGAGGTTCCGCAGGACGCTCTTCAGGAACTGATTAAAGGGGAACGTGGGTAGAATAAATTGAGTGAAATTTCCAGGTTTACCTGGTTTTCGGTTACTCGGTTATGGGAGTACATTTTTTGTCGCACACCTTCGTTCTGAAGAACCCCCTCGTGCCTGATAATAATTGACAAGGCCTTGGCGAAGATCCACGGAGGTGGAATTGCAGCCGCAGTGGGGAACGGGGAGGCTAAATTCGCGGGTCTGTAACCCGGCCAAGAACCGTCTAGGAAATCCAATTTAGCCGGAGAAAAGCTGCGAGCGGCCGTATCTCCTTTCAACTGCGGAGATGCACGCAGACCCTGAAGAAACGGCCTCGAAGAGGACGACGTCTTCCGGGCGGGTTTACGTTGTTGACGACGCCGCGACACGCAATTTCGCTGGTCCCCCTCTTTTTACTTCTTTTTCTTTTTTTTTTTCGTACGTGTCCTATGGCTCGTTAAATCGCCGGATACCGGAAATCGATGCCCCGCCATTTTGGTACCGGCTGTCGCGATTTATTTCCCCGACTTCCTGAAGACTCCGACGAGTGTCCGATAAACCCGAGTCCTACCCTGAAATTCGATGAAGATGCAAAATTGGCTGTTTCTTCAATATAATTAAAGAATGACGTGAAAAGAAAGATATTTGGCGCGAGGTATCGACGTTAAATTAAATGAAATCAGTTATAGCATTAAATCTTCGAATTGCCATTTTTGTACCAGTAGAGAAAATCGTGAAATGTATTTGGCGCGAAACTCAGTCGAGTTTTTTTCGCAAGTATCGACGTAAAATCAAATAAAATCAGTTATAGCGTTAAATATTCGAATCGCCATTTTTGTATCAGTCCGTAAAGTCGTGAAATGTATTTGGCGCGAAACTCAGTTCCAGTTTCTTGATCCGGGTAAACGAGAGCCGAGGATCTCGCCGATCCCCCGAGTTCGGCGCCGATATTAACGGGGGCCGTTAACTCGTTTATGCAGTCGTTCGCATCGGCTTACACTCGGCGAGTTTCGAATCGGTGAAATACGAGGGGCCGTAAACGACCGAGTAATTTACGAAGGGGATCGGCCCCCAATCGGCCTCCATAGCCCGAGGAGTCCCTAGGGAGACAGTGGAGCTCGAAAAGGCGGCAAAACGGTCCAGTCAGCTGGGAGGCTGGCAGAAAAAAAAAGAAAATCGCCACTTCCGGTCCGGAGGCTACGGGGCAAATGACGAAAGGTTTTCCGGGCCATTGGCGACGCGTGGAAAATTTCCAGGCGAAACGCGGGGAAAGGGAAAAAAAAATGGAACCGAGGGAAACCGCTAATTGCCCTTCGCTCAGCTGCGAGCTCGAGTGGATGATTGTTCCTCGAAATCCCGAATGAAAATGACGGAGCACTTGCGTCGGAGAGAGAAAAAAAAAGAAAGGGGACTCGTCAAAGTGCGATATTTAATTAAAAAAAAAAAATAAAATAAAATAAAAATAATACAAAAGGGCGACGCAAAAGAACGGTGGATGATTGTCCCTCGAAATTTCGAATGAAAGTGACGGTGCACTTGCGCGGGAGATAAAAAGAGATGAAGGATTCGTCAAAGTGCGAATCTACACGAGGGATGTTTAATTTTAAAATGCAGAACCAAGAGGACGATATACGGGGGGTAGTTTATTGGCAGGGAGGAGAGGTTGGAAAAAGATGAACATTTTAATATTGGGAAACAGCTTGTTATTCCCCGTCTCTGAATTCCAATATGGATGCCCGGCGTTCGCTCACCAGGGAATTTAATTACGGGGCAAAAGGGGGGCGCAAATAAGGTCCGCGGATGAAAAAACGCGGCAAGGAAGAAGAGGAGCCAAGGATAATCCAGGAAATAATAACGAGGAGAATCGTTAGTCGGCTGATACGGTGGAGATTTCCTCGTCCTTGTCAGATTCTCCGACTGTTTTCTTCATTTTTCTATTTCTCTATTTTTTCCTTGCTACCTTGTCCGTCCTCTAAAATTCCTATCTCCTCTGTTCGGTCATCATTAATTTCTTACTTTCTTTCTCGGAGTCCTGCATTGTCAATCAATTAATTCGATAATCTCCAGTTCATCCAATCGGAGAATTAGGAAATGGCCTCAAAGTGTAATAAAAGGGTCATCCTATATATACTTATCAAAACGTGAAAATATTTATGAAACATTTCATCATTGGAAACTTCAGCACGTGATTATGAAAGCCCTAAGAAAGAACGCGATGCTCGTGAGATTTCATTTTTCAGAAAACCTTTTTTTTTTTATTTATCTCAGAGTAGAACCAAAGATATATATATATATATTGGTGGGGGGGAATTGGAATTTCATGAACATCGTATTCTTCCATAGGACCTCCACAATCACATGCGGAAGATGAAATTTCAAATGATTCGGTGCACCCAATTTGGTGGAAAGTTTTGTCAATATTTTCATATCCCGTGTCACCTTAAATTCGTGGGATATTTTCATGTGGATTGTGGGCTTTTGGAAAGGGGAAAAAAAATAGTGCTCGGAAGGCTCTGGGAAATGAGATGAAATTCGTTTAAGAGGTACGAGGCCCGTTGACTGTGACCGATGAATGAAGTAGGGATGCGCTCCGAGTTTCGGGTGGTCGACCGCTCTGCGTCAGAAGGGCTCGTCGCCTCTCTCTCGCTCCACCGCGGCCCCGGGTCGCGCGGTCTCTCTCGCACTCACGGGGCCCCGGCCTGGCAGGAGCCATACAGTCTGCCGCACTGCTGACGTAACGGGGATCCTCTGACGTCACGCGGGAACGGGACTCCGGCCGCAACTCGGCTCGTATCGACGTGGTCCCGAAGACCTGGGGGGAAAAAAATCGAGGAAACGGGGGATAATCCTAGGGACCCCTCCGGAAGCTGCACCTCGAGGAGCCCCTCCCGCCAGGCCGAGAAATGACTTCCTGAGGGGGCTGAAAAATGGAGAAAGAAGTCCCTTATCATCCAGTGATTAATTTCCAGAAGTGCATCGACCCCACCGAGAGATTCTTCGATCCCACATTATACGCATACTTATTTACGTGGGAAGAAGAATTGTACAAAGAACGAAAGAGAGTCATCTCGTATAAAAATGGCTGTTTAGCGATTTTTTTAATTCAATATTTTATGGAACATCGCCGCGTGATAAAGAACCCGTGATCCTTTGAAACACGTGTTTCAGACATTTAAAGGCAGATAAGATACGTGTTTTATAGGTTAAAGCGAGGTATTGGCGCGAGACTAAGCCTCAGGAGCGACCGCGTTTATTTTCGCGACGCATGTCCCGTGAAGACTGATACTTTGCCTTCGAAAATTCTGGTTTAAAAAAGGATCGGAGCCCTCTCGGCCGATTCGGTGGGCGTAAAAGAGGTCTCTGTTTCCCTAAATGAGAATCCGGGGGACACAAAAGCAGATCCGGCCCTCGGATAACCGCAAGGGGGTGGATCTGTTTTTCCTCCAGGCCGAGTACGTCGGTGCGAGTGCTCTTTTCCCTCCCCCGGCAGTCGCATACATTTCCCGGTCCCTTTGAAAGGCCACCCTCGGCGAGAGATGAAAATTGATGCCAGACAACGGGGGGCGGCAACAAGGCGCCTCCTGGGACCAGCAATCACTGCGGCCTGCAGGTGCAACGAGTCGCTTTGTGCGGATGCACTTTTCGCGCGGGGGATGCAAAGCGCGACCGGGAAGAAGACGGCTCGTAAAGTCGGTTCCATCCTCCGGGACGGCGGATATCCCCAGGGATGTCACGTCCCTCGTCCCGATTTCCCGACCTCGTCGCCCTCGTAAACGGTAATTTCATTGCCGGCCGGTATAAAAAAAAAAAGGAGGAAAAAAGAGAGAGAACCGATGCACCGGGTAACGGGTCGTTACCTCACGCCCCCGACCCCATGGATCGAGCCGTTAAGCACGGGGGAGGGAAAATATTAACTGGAGGTATAGGGTACCTCGTGTCACTCCACTCTCTGGCCTCCGATTACCCCGTGGTTATCAGGCACCCCCTAAAAATTGCCCCACGACTCTTTATCCTTTCCCTTTAAAAAATGTCTCAATATTCAATACACTGTCCTGGACAGTCATTTTATTTTTTCTCCATCTCTTAACCCCTTTAATCGGTGCTCTCTTTACTTCCACGGAAAGTTCAGATTTTCTCAAATTTTCACCCTGCATCATTTAGTTCCATCTTCACTCCTCTTCTCTTCTATGGAAACTTTTAGGGAGGAGTTCTTCCTTTTAATTTCATTCCTCCAGGGTGCAACGAGACGAGAGGAGGATCCCTCTCTTTGTTTCCGCTGTTATGCAATTCCCCCCCCCCCTCCCGCCGCGGTGTGTTTCCGCAAAACGAGGAGTTTCTGACAAAGGAAAAGGATATACGTGCAGCGGTGCATCCCGATTGCACCGGAAGAGCGAGAAAAAGTCGGTCCAAAGGGGGATTAATAAACGGGGGGTGGGCATTGATTAGGGTGATTGGAGGGAATAGAGTGATTAAATCGACGCTCAGAGAGGATTGGTCCTGTTGCAGGTGAGCTCCGTCGCACCTGACGACCCTAGCCCGCCCTGGGACGCCTGGGGGTCCCCCTGGGCACCTGCGGACCGGAAGTGGACCTGCAGGTGCAACAGCCGGATAGGAAGAGGAGCCGGAGGGGGCCGCTATGAACGCCAGCGTCAACATCGAGAAGAACTCCTGGCGGCTGCCACCTGACGAGACCGTCCAGGTCGCCGATCCGAGATCCAAATCCGCACAGGTAAATGAGGTAATTCGGTCCCTGCAGAAATGCACCTGCGGTGGACTAAGAAATGATTAAAAATTACGGTATACATGAATTCACCTCGAAAGTTAAAGAGAAGAAAACGTATTTGAAGTTGAGAGAGAAGGTTTGAACTTTTAGAGAGAATATTTAAACTGCAAAAATCAAGAGGGAAGCATTACAGGGTATGCAAAGTACGCAGCTAGGGTTTCAACGATCCTGATAATCCGATTTACCGTTAAACTTATTTCTTTTTATTACATTTTTTAATTAATGAGAGCTAGAGGCTGGGATTAAAACAAAGTACCCCGGAAAGACCTGGCTCGTTAATTAGGGCCCGACCCCTCGACATGATTAATAATTGTCGCGCATAGCGTTCCTAAGATGCATGTAATTACGTCCAGGTAGATAATACAGGGCGATAATTCAGCCCGAAGACGAAGAAGCTTGCAGCGCCCCCGAAATGAATCCCGATTAATTCCAGGACACGTTCGTCCTGGATCATTGGGTATATCTCAGGGATGATCCCCGGAAAGGGGGAAAATTGCTGATTTAGGGTGCAATTTCGCGAGGGGAGGGGACCAGACTTCGCAGGATTTTTCCCCATTTCGCGACTGATATTAAAATAAATATTTGAGCAGGACTCCACGAAGAGAGGACTCCTCCGAGTGGTGGAGTCGCCCCTTTTCCTCCTTCCCCCCCCTCTTTTTATACACCTTTTACCCCTTCCTTCTTTTTTTCTTCTGCCATTTACGAGACGACGAGTGAACTCGACGGACTCTCTCGAGAGATCCAGGGATGCTGGGGAGGCGTCTCAAGATTACCCTTCTCTATAACCATTTATAACAATTTACAATTATTTTTAATAATTTAATTAAAACCAGGGAGTAAATCAAATTGAAAAGGAGGAGCTTCCTATGGTGGTGTAAAATTAATCGTTCACTGGGAATTTCGGATTTTTGGTCCGTCCAACGCCATCCTGAAGACCTCCCCAGAATTAGTTCTGATAAATTCCAGGGCACGTTTGCCCCTCGACTCCCGCCCCGGGTCTTAATTATGCGAGCCAGTTCCCGGAGGTATTCCTGGATCCGAGATCACCCCCCGCGATGACTGCGACCCCGGGAACGCTAACCAACCCTCGACGGTAATTGGGGGGCGAAATCGCCATTGGTGATGTCGGAAGATGTTGGAATTTCTCACTAATGGGTCGAAAAATGGGGATGGGAAAAAATTCAAGGAAGGAGAGGGGATGGCGGGAAGTCCGACGAATGGTAACTCGATTATGTCGAGTCTGCGGGGGGCGGTTTGCGAAGGGATTCCCTTACGTGGGGATCATCCCCCGGGTGGTGAGAACGTCGTCGAGGGCTATGTAAGCGGAAAAAATCCGGAAGCCGTGGCAGACAGTCGCTCACGGGTCCTCCTCGGGCCGGGTCGTCGAAATTATCCCAGGGGACGACCATGAAGGTGCGAAACTGTCTTCGCGCGTGGGGGTGCGCGGTAAGCGAATTTCAACCCCTAGGAAAATTGCCCCCCCAAGGCTCACGGGGGAAACGTACCCGCCGAGGCGCGATTCCCTCCCTCGGGAGGCGCGTCCACCTCGGTGGGCACTTTTATATATTTTTTTACCCCGTGATTTATCACCCCCAAACCTGGCGAGACGACCCTGAGACGTGGGCGTCGCATCTTTTTGCTTGCATGTGTTCCTTATTAATTTTTTTTTAAATTATTATCATTTATATAGTCGGATTCGCATGTTCCGCAATTTTAGTTACGGTCCCATCTCATTATGTTTGCGCTCATAATATTTCCATGTAACTTTTTCATGGTTATTTTTGTCCGTGGTTATTTTCGTTCACCATTTTTCTTTTCAATTTTCTTACGATCACTTTGTCCCTTTTGCTAAGCTTTGCGCAAAATTTCGTTCAGGGTACTTTGGTCAATCACGGAAATTTAGGGGTGAATTGGGAGGATGTAACCGCGAGCAATTGAGGCCTGGATTTAATAATCGGGAGGAATTGGATAAGGAAAAAAGAATGTCATCTCGAGTGGCCGTAATGACGGCGGCTTTTCAGCCGGGGAAATCGATTGGTTTCTGATTCGGTGAATCGGGCTCCGTGACTCGATGGAGCTCGGGGAGCTTTTTTCCAGCCCGATGCTTAACTTTAGCTTTAACCCCCTTTTCCACATCCGCGGCGTTACATCCTCGAAAAAGGAGAAATTAAATTTTTACTCCCCCGTAAAGCGCGACGTCGGCGACTTTTTTCTTCCACTTCGCGACTCGGAGCGTCAAGGAGCGTAAGAGAACCATTTTGTACATTTGATTCATTTTTAATTAGGAAATTAATCAAGTCGCCCCTCGGGAAAATTAACTGTTGATGAAGAAGTACATTTCTGGGGACAGAAGAAAAAAACCCCAACAGAATCCCCCATTCGAAAAATCATTTAAGATCTCTTCTTCTGAGGGCGCTTAGGGTAGGTCGGGGTTCCTGGGGCAGGGACCTTTGGGGGCGCAACTCCCTGCTATTTTTCATCCCTAAACGCAATTTGAAGTCTAGGGAGGTCTGGGGAATTGATTAATTGCAGCCGACCGAGGAGGCGGTGATTATTTCCGGTGTTTTTCGGCGCTCTTTCGTGGGAAGGAGCCGAAAAAGCAAACGGCGAGTCATTAAAATTCCGCTCGGCCGATCCGACCGATCGATCTCTGCTACGAGGGCGTCGTTATTTATCGCGATAAACAAGTCGTCCGAAATCGATTACTTGCGATGTCGGCCAATCGGGAAAGGGGAGCCAATCGTGGGGCGATTTGTCGGTAATGCGGCGATCTGTTGCGATCAGCTGATTCTTGGTCGAGGATCAGCTGATCGAACTGGGAGTAATTCCAGACATATTTACGGCGCGGACGAATAATACAACCTTAATAATAATTTAATAACAATTTAATAATAATACCGGCGTGTCAAATTGCGAACGGCTGGTTCTCACAAATAATAAAGTGGACGTAAGACCAATTTTCATATACCTTTTTATCAGGGATTTTTTTTAATCTTCTCGATGAAGAGGGACGTAAATTGCGTTTTCATGATCGAACCTAGAATGCATAACGACCGACGGGGGTTGACGTTTGTCTCGTTAAAGCGGTCGATACGCCCTGGAAAGTTAACGCAATCCCCGATAATAGACTTTGCGGTTTTCCGAAATTAGGTAACAGGGTTTAACTCGAAGCCCAACCCTCCCAAGGGGTGGGCCGGTCCCACCTCGAGGCCCGATATCTCGCTTGCGATCCATCAAAAAGTCATTTATTTAAGGTCATTAGATTCCCCCCGGCATGCTCTACAACTTTCATAGGAACGAAAACCTCCGAATTCGTTGAAAAATCGGGATAAAAAAAAAATGTTCGAAAAGTCACCACGTACCCCGCCTATATAATCGTGGGAAAATTGCGATTTTTATTCGGTCATATACCAAAAAACGCGATAAAAGATTCTCGGAAGGTCACCAATATGCACGCCGCCTATCTAATCGTGCGAGAATTGGGATTTTATATTTGGTCATAATGCAAGAAACGCGGTAGGAAAACGCGCGGAAAAATCACCGCTAACGATCGAGACGAGAATTGGGATTTCTTCATTTCGGGGTAAACTATTTCTATTTTTTTTTCTATTTTGGGGTGTTTGTTCTCATTGTCGGAATAATTCGTAAAGATGTATAGGCACCTATGTGTACTCGTCAGGAGGACGCGTCGCGACGACGTTATACCCTGCGGAATTTACAACGCCATTTGTATCCTCCGGAAGACCGTCAACGATCGCGATTCCAGCCGGCCCGGGACCGTCAACGAATTTATAGGAAATTGAACGTCATCCCGACGACTCTGCGACGATTTACGTCGGCCGGCGAGTAATCCGCGAGAATTCGCGGTTTTCCTCCCCCTCCGCGCAATTATCCCCCGGGTCCGCCGCCGCGCGGAAAAGCGGATGAACGCCGGAAACGCGGCGAATACCGCGCGGAAATTTCCTCGGAGACGTCCCGCCGTCATCAGCTGATCGCGGCTGAATTTCCGGAGACGTCGCCGCAGACGTCGATGACGATTCCCTCGTGTTAGAACGGATCGAATCGATCGATATTAATGACTTCGGAGTATGTCCCACAAATATTGATTATGAATTAAAACAAACAACAAAAAAATATTAACTTGATCGGTCAAGAATGATTGCAAAAAGTAGATAACAATAGCCATTTCGAAAATCGGTCTCGGCGACTGGGAGACATGCGCGAATAGCGATGACAATTTTCCGAGATCCTTGATAAGGGAAATCCAATCGATCGATACCAGTGACATTGGAAAATGACCCGGAAATTTTCCAATTTTACGTACGCAATGTTATTCGGAGATCGAGTAACATTTTCTACTCCTCTTTTTTTTTAATATTAGTTTCAGCTCCAACAGTCGGCATTTCTTTTTCTCTCTCTCTCTCCGGAAAATCGGTTTCCGCGATTGCATTACGGCGAAATCAAGCATATTGAGTGCAAGTGCGACCAATTACCGGGTCCGTATGCAGATGTGCGAGAAATTGGTGGGGGGTCTGTTAAAACAATCATAGGCACAATTCCGCTGGCGAGCGTCCGGGAAGTTCGTAGCGTAATTCCAGCCAATTGCGGATATCGGCTCCCATTTCTTTTCTTTTCTTTTTTTTAACTAGGTAATCGTGAGACCCGCCGAAATTTGTCAAGTCGATTTCCCGCCCCCCGCAAACACTTGGAGGCTAATGTAACCGTCTTCGTTACCGTTTCGTCTGCTCTCCCGACGCAATCAGGGACAATTCGCCCACGCTACGTGACTGCAATTCCTCCCGAAGGAAGACGAGCCTCTTCTTCGTCTTCTGGGAGGGAATAAAAAGGGGGGAAAAAGAAATCAACCAAACTCCCACGCCGTCAATTATCAAAGTTGCGCCGATCGCCGGGAGCGTAGCCGTACCGTGACTATAACTGGGCGCCAACTTTCGGAGGTGCATCGTCAGCTCGGTGCATCGCAGCTGCAGCTGTATCTCCGGCCGAGGACATACGTCTTCCCCGGAATCGCCGACGATACAGTTTCCGGTGATCTCTCAGTCGACGAGAGACGATCTATTATCTGTACCCTGAAAATGTCAGAAACGTCAAATCAATTGCCGCTTAAAAATGAGAAAAAAATATATATATCGAGATGCATACTTTGCAATAAGTTGCATCGTCGACAATGCAGTTTTTTTATTATTTCACAGTTGAAGAGAGACGATCTATTATCTTTACCCTGAAAATGTCAGAAACGTCAAATTAATCGGTGTTAGAAAAAATGAAAAAGAGAAAAATATGTCAAGATGAATACATTGCAAAAAGGATCCTTCTCTTGCAGGACCTAACCTACGGGGAGGCTGGACACAACTGGAGGAGCATCATCTTTTCATTGTTGGTCATCGGGTTCGTCATCGCTGGCATCGTCACCGCCATCTACCTCCTCGGGTAGGCCGGCATATTTTCTATATGAAATTTATTTATTTGCCATTGAATTATGTTATTTTGAGTGAAACCTCTTGAACATAAAAATAAAAGCTCGTTTCTTTCAAATCACAGATACGTCGACGAATTGCTGTACTGGAGCGGAAGACGTCTCACCCTCGAAGAGTGTCTTCGGGGTGATTTGACACCTCATCGACTTCCTCCGGCTTGGCTGTCCCATGACAAATTCGTCTACCAGGCCGACGATGGCTCCCTGGCACTTCTGGACACCTCCAACAATTCCGTGTCCCTTCTGGTATCCAATCACACCCTCGTAAGTACAAAGAAAAGCTGCCCAAGATTCCGAAGCGTATATAAAAAATATCTTTCACTTATCTCCAAGAACTATGCAGGATTTCCTCCCCTCTCAAGGCCTGGCTAAATCCACACGCCCTGATAAATAATAAATAATAACTATTCCCGCGCCGTAAATTCCGGTACCCTCCCCATTGTTCCAGTGCCCGGGAAACGGCCATAAATGATAATTTCCCGGGTCCTAGTTTCATTTCCGCCCCATGGACAAAGGTAGGGTGCAAGGGCGTGACCGAACCCCAAGTTTCGTAAGGGTGCAACGAAAAGGGGAGGAAAAAATCTGTAGTACCTTTTTTTGGAGTGCAGTTTCGTGAGGGTGCTGCGGAAAGGGGAGGAAAAAAAATCTGTAGTACCTTTTTTTTGGAGTGCAGTTCCGTAAGGGCGCAGCGAAAAAGGGAGGGAAAAATCTCCAGGACCCTTTAGGAGTGCTTCTACCAATCGTAAAAAATCGAACCTGGAACTTGGGGGCGAGTAGGGCAATCTCGAAAATTTACACGGATCCTCATCGGACCCGAATTGAGATTGAAACGGGAGTCAGGGTGCGGCAAAGGGAGGTTAGCAGAAACGAGGGTTGATTGATCCTGACGGGCCGCGGAATGTCGTGGACGAGCAGGGAACGAAGGGGTGAAGAGAGGGCCGGGGTTCGTGGATCGGTTCCAAATCCTCATCCCTTTCCTATGTGGACCAAGGTCTCGCTTCGGGAGACCGGAAACACAAGCGAGAATACCGCGAGCCAACATTGATCCAAACGAGATCCGGCCGTGCCGCACCCCCGATCAGCGCGGATTTTCGAAATCCACCCGCGAACACACTTTTTTTTTCCTCCTTTTTTTGATGCCAAACCACGTCGACGAGATCCTTATTTTTACAGTAAAAATGTTATTACATCTTTTTTTTTACACCAAATCTTGACGGGGGTTTTCAATTTAATATATCCGATTTCAAAGGCAAGGGAAAATTTTGCAGTCATTTTGAAAATATCGCCGACACCTCCACGCCGATTTTCGAAATCCACCCGCGAGCACACTTCTTTTTTCCCCCTTTTTTTGATGCCCAACTACGTCGACAATTGCCTTTTTTTTTGCGGTAAAAATGCCACTACCACTTTTCCTTTCAATCTTCAATTTTGTATGACTAATTTCGACGGTAACTGGAAACCTTCAGCCATTTAGAAAAAACCACGAGCCAACATTGATCGAAACAATTATGTCACCCGGAATGTTGTCGATGATTGTCTATTTTTCCAAGCCTAGGATTCTATTATTCAGGATTCTATCTTTTTATGCCTACGATTTTTAAAAACGCGAGTCATTTTAATTATCCTCGTTTTTACCCGCGAGTAAGAATCTCGCGAAAATTATTTTACACCCAATCTTAACGGGGATTCTATTTGTTATACCCGGGATTTTAATTATCCTTCTTATCACTCGCATGTCAAAATGTTGGTATAATTCGTTTGCACTGAACGTTGTCGGGGATTATCTATTCCACGCGCCTACGACCCTGAAGAGCATACATTGCTTTAATCAAGAGCCTTAATCAGGAGCGTCGAGACCGCTCTAGGTGAACTCCTCTTCAGGGTTCCCAATAGCCATGAAGAGGGTGATCATCCGCGAATTCCGTGCGGGACTTTCGATCCGCGGAATCCTGACGGAAGCTCTTCCCCGGATAAGGGGAAAGGCTGAATTACGGGGACGACATTATCATTTCTTGAATCGCAACATCGCCGCCATTTTACGACCGCGGATTTGGAAGCTCGCCCGGGATGTGCGCTTTGACTTAGGTGGCCACTTCCGAAGACATAAAAAAACTAAACGGAAATTTCCATAAATTACTACGTGGCATTGATAAAAAAAAGAAGATAAAAAACCTGAGTTGTACCCTTTCATCCCTCTACTTACAGCGGCAGCTCAACGTCCAGGGGTACGAGTGCAGCTCCGATTTGCGCTACGTCCTCTTCAAGCACAACGTCAAGCCGGTGAGAAATGGAATGGAAAATGATAAATTATAAGTATTTGTCGTCCCGCCATGTCAAGATAATGCCAATGTCTTGAAAGAGCAGAATTTCTCATCCGGTAAAAGAATTGCAGCTTATCGGCAAGCTCCTCTTCAGGGTTCCATATCACGGAGGAGTGACCTCAGGGTCGTTTCTCGTATAATTCAGTTTATTCCGGGCCACTCGTGGGCCATTGTGGATTAAACTCCTCCCCAAATGGCACTCGTTGAGCTCTTTTCCTCAGTTTCCCTAAGGCCAGGGCCCACTTGGTCTTACCAGGGCCGAAACTCTCGGCGAGGGTGTGCAGCCATTACGGTGCACCCCTCTAAGAATTAACGCAAGTGCTTTCGCCGGCCGAATTAAGGCACTTGCGGACTCGAATTATGCCGACGAGAGACGTCCCGTTCTCGGGGAAATCTCTGAGAAAGGTCCATTAAAGTTCCACGAGTAGGCGGAACCGCGAGACTGCATCCTCGCTCTTTCTTCAGGTCTTCCGGCACAGCTTTTCCGCTCATTACACGGTCTACGATGTCACGAACGAGTGAGTATCCATTATGCGTGATGCATTGGGTTGTTCCATGAATTCTTGAACAAATTTTCTTTTTTACCAGCCAACTTCTGTTTGAGCCGCTCATATATTTCCTCCTTATATGAAATCCAGCCTAGGCCTTAATTCCCTATTAAAAGAAATTCACGCACTTCATGCACAGTCTTAAAATGGATTCTACACTTTACAACTGAATTTCTAACTAAAATAATTATGCAACACCTCTAATCCTATGAAGTTATCTAGGGATGTTAATACACCCCGAGAAAAAGATATCACTTAACCAAAGATATATTTCATTAATTCAAAGAATTATTATTTTACTCGAATAAATTCTCGTAATTATGACCGAGGGAACGTTGCATCCGATGTATGCCGAGTTTATTTCAGTTAAATAATTGTTCCTTTAATTAATAAAATATCTCTTTCGTTCGATGAATTTTCCTTTTCGGTGCGCTTATGAGCTGAATTTATAACGTGGGTTAAATATATTTAAAGTGTCCAAAAAATACGTTATCAGATTGTAATATCTCATTAACCGGGTAGAGAACCATAGATCATCCCAACGTTAAATCTGCCGAAGTGTCGCACACAGTTTGCGAGGTCGCTTGGAATTTCGGCAATAAAAAAGTTTAAAAAAAAAGTGAAATCTTCGTTTTATAAATCCGTTCGTACATTTATGGAACGACTCGATAGTGTCCTGAGATTAGATTCGATTTTGAGTGGACTGACTCGGTTTTGCCTTTATCAGCCACCACACTCCTCTTCGTCTTCTGGCCTCGCCGAGGGTGCAACAGACTCGTCTTCAGCATGCGACCTGGCTGGGGAACACGAACGCCCTCTTGATGATCTCCGAGAATGACATCTACCTGAGGATGGCCCCTTCGGCAACGGAAGACGTCCGGGTGACGGACACCGGGATACCAGGTGTCATCTACAACGGGGTTCCTGACTGGTTGTACCAAGAAGAGGTCCTTCCTCGACCGGAGGCGACCTGGCCCAGTCCGGATGGCTCCAAAATCCTCTTCGCCTGCTTCAACGACACCAACGTGAGCGCCCTGGAGTTCCCCTGGTTCGGCTCCCAGATAGGCCAGGATGGAGCCAATCTGAACCCCATGGGCACATCTAGAAGAGGCTCCTTCCCTCCTTCGAGGTCCGTCAGGTACCCCACCCCAGGATCCGTGAATCCCGAGGTCTCCTTGTGGATAGTCGACCTAGGGAACCTCACCGGAAGCGACCTCGCCAACGCCACCGTCACCAGGACGAAGCTGAAGCCCCCTCAGTCTTTGGACGGACAGTAAGGGTTAAATGGTGGAACTGAATCCTTCACTCGAAATCAATGATTCTTAATGATTCAAGTAATTAGGAACGTCGTTGTACAGTGTGTAACTCGCCGTTGGAAATATTCGAAATTAGAGACTCGTTAAAATCTTTCCAAATCAATGAATTTCAAGGGAGGGCAGAATTTATTCTGATTTTCGAGGGTGGGCATCATTTTTTTTTTTTATTTCAGGTGAGGGTTTAATTATTTGATTTTTAAGCGAGAGCATCATTTTTCCTAATTTTCGAATGGAGACATAATTTTCGCCGATTTTCAAGTGTGGGCAGAATTTTCTCTAATTTTCAAGCGAGGGCATAATTTTACCTTACTTTCAAGGGAACGGTACCTTAGCCGAGTCCGAAATATCGAATTTCCCTGTACCTCTATTTTTAGGGACTACTACCTCATCTCCGCTGGCTGGATCGGTGAGGACTACGGACAGATCGCGGTGGTCTGGATGACGAGGTCGCAGAACCTGTCGCTAGTGTCGGCATGTCGAGCCCCATCCTGGGAGTGCGAAGAAACGCACACGGAAAGGGCTCCCGAGGGACAATGGCTGGACGCGCAGCCTCATCCCGTCTTCGCCCCGGACGGGGACAGTTTCCTGTTGCTGGCGGCGGTCCAGGAAGGCGGGCAGGAGCACTTCACGCACATCAAGCACGTCACCCTGACGCAGCAGAGGATAGCCGTGCTCTCCCACGGGAGATACGAGGTGGGTGGCTCCGGATATAATTAATAAAATGTCATGATCGAGACGACGATCCCCCAGGTAAGCGAGATCCTCTCATGGGACACTCAGGCTCACCTGGTGTACTACCTGGGCACCAGGGAGAGGAGGCCAGGGCAGAGGCACCTGTACGTGGTCCGGGACCCCATAGCCGATGACCCCAGGAGGCTGGAGCCGCTCTGCGTGACCTGCGACCTGGGCGAGGTCCTTTGGAGCAGTAGGTACGTGGACGTGACCCCGTGAGGTCGTTAAAAGGTCCTTCTAGGTCCACTTCGGGGCCCTGGGTATTAAATCTGGGATTTCGGGGGGTGGTTCCAGGTTTTATTACACCAACTGCACGCACTTCAGCGCCTCCGTCAGTCCTCCTTCCGACCAGGTGGGCCAGGGTTACTATGTTCTCCATTGCGAGGGACCTGGTCTACCGTTGGCTGGGGTGCACTCCATGCAGACCCATAAGATGGTCAGGGTCCTCTATGATACGAGGATCCAGAGAGCGGACAGACTGTCGCAGCTGGCTCTGCCTACACGGCGCAGCTTCGAGGTAATCATTCCTGAAGAGTTCTTGAGTATGGAACCCGATAATTAAAAATATCGCGCGTTGTAATGGATTTTGTGGCCTAACAAAAACGACGCACGTCGTTTTTTACGACCGGCGTGAAAATCGAACCTGAGATTCATGACACTTTTTTCCAGTCTGTATGTATCGAAGCGTTTGAAATCTCACCACGTGAATGGGCAAACAGGAAGGTCTTACCCACCAAACACGGTTATGTAGGAATAATATAACCATTACATAACGAATAATGTAACGTGTACGTAACATATCAGTAATATGTTGACATTACATAACTGCAGTGCTGACAAGTTTGTAACATTGTTACCGAATAATAATAATGTAACATTATATGATATTGTATCTTTTGAATAACATTTGTTATATATCATGTTATTGCAACGTTATGTAATTGTAACATAGCGAGTTCGGTGGGTAATACCCGTGAAATTCCAGATTTCACGCAAGATTAAAAAATTATTCATGAACAATTGTTTTTTTTATTGAAATGTCATGATTGCGAGGACCTTGCCGAGACCCTGACGCCACTATCATATCGCCTTAATGATTCGGTTCCTATAAAAGAAATAAGAATATCTTTGCGAGAGAAAGTAGAATCGAGTTATTTCGAGGTCCTCTTCTTGGGTGATTCCTGATGGTCGATTATCCTCTTCCAGGTCCCTCTTCCTCAGGGCTGGAGGGCGCAGGTGCAGCTCCTGCTGCCTCCTTCTTGGAGGGAGGAGCTGCGCGACGCCGCGTTTCCCGTCCTGGTCGAGGTGAACGGCCGTCCAGGAAGCGAGGCCGTGACTGACCGCTTCAGGATAGACTGGGGCACATACATGTCCAGCCACAACGACGTCGTCTACGTGCGTCTCGACGTCCGCGGCGCCCGGGGTCAGGGCAAGAGGGCGCTCTTCCGCAGGATCGGCGGCGTGGAGGTGCAGGACCAGCTGACGGTGCTCAGGCACCTCCTGGACACCTTGAAGTACCTGGACGAGACCAGGGTCGGGGTCTGGGGCTGGGGCTATGGGGGATACGTCACCGCCATGGTCCTCGGCAGCCAACAGAACGTCTTCAAGTGTGGAGTCGCCGTCAACCCCATTGCCGACTGGCTGTTCTACAGTGAGTTCCTTCAGGGTGTGATCAAGGATCACCTCCCTTCTCTATTCTCCTTCCTCCCTGAAAAATCATCGCCTAGAATAATATTCGGTCCTTCGATTTATCGAAGAAATTTATTTCGCCCCGGATAATGCATTGTCAACCCTTAAACGTAAATCTGCACCTTGCAGGTGCAATCTTATTTCAATAGACGGAATTATTTATTTTGGAGTATTTATGATTTTCTGACCAGTCAAAATGACCGGGTGAATTCATGCGAGTTGCTTCTTCTCTTGGAAAGAAAATTCCTTTTCGAACGTTTAAAAATGTGTGGAATGGTCACCTTGCCGAATGGTACTCAAGGTTCCTATTGTTGAAGATTCCGCGTTCACGGAGCGAGTCCTAGGGGCTCCTGCGGAGAACTACAAAGGTTACGTGGAGGCTGACCTGACGCAGCGGGCCAGGCTGGTGCCCAGTCACAGCCTCTACCTTCTTCATGGTCTAGCCGACCTCACAGCGCCTTACACACACGGCGTAGCCTTCGCCAAGGCCCTCTCCGAGGCGGGAGTGATCTTCAGGTATCAGGTGAGCAGCTGCCCCACGTGGTGAGCGTTTTAAAAAACGAATTCGACCCTCTTCGGGAATGTATCGCGATTTTCTTCGTGATCGTCCTCACTAAGGATCTTATCCTCGTTTTTCCAGAGCTACGCGGATGAGGATCACGCCCTCTCGGGGGTGATAGAACACGCCTATCGTTCCATGGAGGACTTCCTCGCCGAGTGCCTCGCCCTGGACGCCTCCTAGTGCCTCGAAAAAAGCGCGTCGACCTCCCCCTCGAAGTCGACCCTGAAAAGTCCCTCGCCACTCTTCAGGGTCCAACTCCTCCTGGAGAACGTGGATCCTTGGGAGCTGCTCCTTGGAAGATGCCCCATCCCCCTCTCGCTCCCTTTCTTTCGACCCCCGACATCCTGAAAAGACCCCGAAGAGTCCCCGAAGAGACCCTGAAGAGGGGCGAAGCACGTCTTCCAGTAGGCAGCTCCTCTCTTTCGACCTTTCCATCCTCTTAGGCGCGAATTACGAAGAGAGCTCCTCGTTCCGAATGCGGAGCTCCAGCGAAAGGTGTGGACGGGTGTGCGAGTGCGAGAGAGAGGGAAGCATGCGCCCGCCCGGGCGAGCGAGGGAGAGGGAACGACTTCGGACACGGCTATTCCTAGTTTAACGTCGATTTACCCTTGTCGGTTCCATGGAAATGGGGGTTACGAAGCGCTGCCGGTACGTGTCGGTGCCGGGACGTGACGGACCGTGACGGATAGGGTGAATCGACGTTTATGGTTAATAATTGTGGGCGAATTCGAAGAAAGGGCTGAAGAAAGAGTGCATGGCCACGTTTCTATGAAAGGGTAGGATAGCGATATTGCGTATTCGCACGTTCTTTTTTTTCGGAATGGACGAGCAGGGAAGCGATAAATTTCCGGAAAGGAGGAAATGGGAATGGTTTAATGCACCTTAAGAGCTAAACGACCCATCGGCCGACACGTACTTCACGGTAGTGTATAAATATTCCGTTGTTATCTATGTATACCGTTTGTATATTCGTATATATGATGCACTGAGGGTCATTTAGCTCGAAGAGGTGCAGTCATCGATGGTCATCGAGAGATCTGTATACGGCTCGCGGGTATTTCCGCCAGATTTTGGGTGAATTCGGAGCGATCGATCAGCCTGGAAGAATCGATCGATCGATCGATCGGTTCACCTATAGGCAACTGCACGCGTAACGACAAATCGTCCAGAACAAATCCGTGCAGATCGATTTGTATGGATGTAATTGACCTGCGATGGCCATCAAAATACTCGAATTGACTGTAGAAATGTATAATCGCCACGATTTATCGTTACGCTTGGAGTTATCTTAAATCGCACCGAGGATCGGCCTCGTCGAAGTGCACTCGCGTTTGCTCATCATTCGGATCCTTCTAATCTTAAGTTGTACAGCTTCGCGCCTAGTCTATGTATCATAATGTTATATATGTACGTAGAGTCCACCCCTCTTCCCGGAGTCCCGTGGGATTTGTACATATACGTCCTTGATCCTCGATCATCGTACACGACCACTGGTCGCGTTTTCGAAAGAAGTTCCCGAAAATTGGTGCTACTCGCGGAACTCGCTCTTAGGGGTGGGATATCGCGCTGTACGGATATCGAATCCGAAAATCGATAAATCTTAAAGGAACGAAAATTATAAGGGATTAATTCGAGCTTCCTAGGAAGATGCGACCATTGTTGAGGTGCGGGACAAGGTCGAGCGTGATGATCGTCTCCTTTTTAAAATTTCCTTATTTTTTTTTGTACCCTTTAAAGTTGCTAGGAAAAATTCCAAAAAATTCTTTAGACCTTCATTTATTAATCAGGAATGCACACGATTATTTATGGGATTTGGAAAAATTCAGGGAGAAGGGGGTGAATTTTTTTCAACTCTTTTGGAGATCGGCAATCGCGCTCGACGGAGCACTTCGCGATTTACGCCACGCTGTGCCAGCAGCCCTTATATGCCGACAATCAAGGCTAGTGCAACTAATCAAACAATAAATGAAAGGCAGAGTTAATTAAACTAGCGTTAAACGAACGACGAGAGCAGGAACAGGTCGACCGTGATTTTTTATCACTGAGTGCAGACAATTGGTCCCTGCTTATTAAAAATATTACGGCAAATGTTAACACGCTGAACTGTGAATTAAATACACCTGCGGTGCTATAAAATTTCGATCAAGCGCAGAAAAGAATTAAGTTTTTCTGTACCGTGACCTTATTTTCCATAGAGGAGCTGAAGAAGTCGAAGGTGGCCTTATTAGATGACAAAATTTGGTCAGGTACCCTTGAATATAATTATAATTTCACCATACTTGCTCTTCTAACAATCCTCCCTTAATGTCACACGACTCTTTGTTAATCCGATCGTCTGCACGCGAGAATAAAACAATCACCAACGACGCGCTTCTTTCAAACGGCTAAGGTGGGGAAAATGAAAAATGGAAAGAAACGAAAAACGAAACGCAATCGTAATTAGTTAAAGTTGATCCAGCAAATTCGGACGAGGAGGACTCGTCGGACTTTCAAGGAAATAAGCCACAATCAATTATTACGTATAAAATGGTCTAGGCATTACGCGAAAAAAAAGAAGAAAAAAAAAACACACCTAGATAAATAAAGTACGAGTTCTCGAAGAGATCGTCCAGGTCGGACCATGATCGGTCGTCATCGAGGTCGATAGTGAATAATTTCTTTTTATAAAAGTAAAACTCTCTACCGAGACTTCTATCTAGTCGAAAGTTCGTTCCGGTGACGCGGAGAGAAAATGGCCCGACCGGGACGAAGGAAGATCGTCATAGAATTAGTCGGAATGGCGTAGAAACCGGAAACTGGCGCATTAAATAATCGCAATGATTCTTTGTAGCAACGCGTAGGATATCTTATAGCTTTTGGTAAAGCATTATACCGCCACTAGGCTACGGAAAAGGGAATCGAAGGGTACGGGAAGAGCCCTCCGACGCGCAAGGAAATTCAAGATGGCGACCGCGTCGGTGCGCGCAACCTCGATCGGAATCGAGCACAGAAAACGTGTCAATTAGAAAATCTCCTCGCGACAGCTTGCAAGGTAATTGTAATGATACACATATACGTTATATACACATAGGAGAGGAGAGAGATGGCAAAAAATCGGGCGGCCGCAGGTTGGAGGGACGATTTTCGGGGATGACGAAGAGAGGTACAATGGCGGACATGGACGCCTTCCTTTGGAGGTTGTGCTACGAGTATTTAAGTAATACTAAGGCAGGCATGTCCTCCAATGCATCGGACATGAAATCCCATTTTGAGAGGACGACATGGCACTCGCAAAAAAAAAAGAACATTGCACCCACGTCGCAGCTTTTCGCCGGCTCTTCGGATCTCTCGATCGAGGATCGATCGATCGACTCGGCGAGAGGCGCGCCGATAACGGCCCTAGTTAATCTTCCACTTAACACACCCACGAGATAATCATGTTATTAAGACTCTGCGTTTTTTAATATCAGCGAGCCTCGGCGCGAGATTGTCGCCCGACAAAAAGTGTTTTCAATAAACTGTTATATTACCTGAACCGATTATCTATTTCTCCAACTCTTTTCTTCCACGATCTACAAAAACAAAGATGGCCGCGCACTTGGCGATAAATTATGACGATTTTTCACGTTTAAAAATGCCTAGTTAGCTACGCATAAAACTATGTATAGCTAACTAGGTATTCTTCCATCGGCTAATTCGCGCAACACGCGTTAGAAAACAATTGCGATAATAAATACCGACGTTCGAATTCTTTTTTTTACCGGAGGTCTTAGGCAATCATGTCCATGAGTGCGATTAGAATTTCCCGGGAAAATAGCCTAATTGGGAGCGATTTATAAATTGACGGAAAAATGTCACAGAGGGTACAGGTGCGCGATTTGTACAGTAGTGTAATGTCAATTTAATCCCTTTTTAATTAATGTTTCTCGTGGGTGTTAATTATTCAAGAGTCTAGGAAGATGAGATTAACCTATCCTGGTGGATCTAATTTTTCAGAGGAAAAGCGGGATTTAAGGACTCTTCAAGGACTACGTCATGGGACGTCCCAGGAAGAGGAGGAAGAGATCCTTACGACTTCACCGAGAGTCTGGAGTCACTCGTTTTCGGTGTCAGTCGTCGAATGAAGATAAGCGATATCGGTAAGCATAGGTAATTCTGTAGAAAAAGCCGATCGGTGAAGTTTCCACCTTGTAATCGATGATCGAAAGACCTGTCGATCATCCTTACGCGACGCGATCGAAGACCTGTCGAATGGCGACTTCCTTGCCGATCCTGAAGGACTCCCCGAAGCTCAGAAGACGATCCTCGGACAGCAGCGTGATTTTCCTTGGAGTTTACCGCAAGGTCCCTCAACTGGTGACCCTCGAGGACGACGAAAACCGGCGACGGGCAGAAATCGAGGAAGCCTCGAAGAAGAGGGAAAAAGTAAGCCCTGAAATATTAACAATCAGATAGACAGATCATTTTCAAACCCGACCTGCCTGACGATTTAATCGAAGGGGGAACTGACCAACCAGGGTGTCGTCTACGCCGAATGCAGCGCCTGAAGTCATCGAGATCCTCTTCAAGTATTTGGAAGAAATATTAAAGGCGATATAAACGTTTATAAAAAAATCAACGTATTGTTTCTTCGCCGTAGCGATAGCTTTGCCTAGAAGAAGTCTTTAGCCCCGATTTTTACGGGGATGTAGGCTTTCGCCAGGAAGGTGTGAGAGACTCCTGCGATCGCCTCGATTTCTGCTTTTCCCCTCGAAAGGATGTCCAGCTCCTGCTGGAGGTTCTTAATCGGGTAAGATCGACGCTCCAGGGTTTTTAGTTTCGCGATATCCATGGTGGTCAGTTGAGTAATTTGGACCCCTAGGGGAAATAATTCCGAAGGATGAACCCCCAGCCATTGCATCTCAGGACAAGCCAAACTTTCCTGGTGCCGAGCGTTGCTGATGGAGCCAAACCTGCCAATAATTCAGATATTGATAATTATTTATTCTGCAGGGTCTGATGATATAATATTCTATCAGAATTAATTATAATAACCCACCGATACGTGCACATGATCTCTATGCCAAATGGATCCGCATCAACGAGGGCATAAACCGGAAGTGCAAGCTCGGTGGAAAGGAGTTTCACCAACATCCTTGTGGCCACGTCAGGATATCCTTTCCCAGTGATAAGGATGCAGTTCAGCGCCTGCGGGAAATCCTGTTCGAGGAGTTTCTGAAAAATCGCGTCTTTTTCGACGACCAGGACGAAGTCGGCCCTCGTCCTTAAAGAAGTGACATTGGACGCAATTTGGGGAATTAATGCTCCTCCGGGACTATTAAAATTAATTCTGTCGTCGCTGATTAATGTCAGGACGAGGTTGCCCGCTGCAAGGCCCTTGGCCGTCGTTAATAATCCTGAAAGAGATATAAATTAATACAAGTCTTGAAGAGTTCTAAATTCTCTAAACAGTGAAATGACTCCTTAAATGGAAATCGGGTAATTTCTGCACACTACCGTCATGTAAGTCTGCATATTTAATCTGGCACGTTAATAATAGAAACCGAAAGATATTGTAAATCTGTTTCTGTTTAAGAGAGACATTTCTTGTATGTATGATTTTTTTTCTAATTTCGTATACTTTATTTTCGATATTTTATAACCGAATTTCCGTATAAGGATTAATCTCCTGATTTTCTGATTACCGAGATCCCAAGAGGGACACTCCAGTAAGTTTGCAACAACATGGACGACGCGATCCACGTATCTCTGGTCCGGAGCCAAAGAGGCTGTGGATCCACCTTGAAGTTCATAGTACAAGGATCTCCTGGTCTGGCTACTCTTCGAGATGAGAAGACGATGGACCCGAGCCAAGGTGGTCATAACCGAGGCGAGCTTCACTCTGCTCCTCTGGGACGCGAAATCAATGGAGGAGGTACGATGCACCGTAGATGTCGATGATTCGGCCGGATTATTGGAATCCTGAGGATCTGCCCTTTCCTCCACCCCCGAGGAATGTTCAGTGCTTTCTTGAGAATCCGCCAAATGGGCCTCTTCGTGTACCGCTTCATCGTCCGCAAAAGATTGCAGGTCGTTCACCGTGGGAGGAGAATAAGCGATGATCGGCGGAATCCCGGAGGAAATCTCGGTCAGCATCATCAAGACGATGGCTTCGATTCGATCGATTAAAATCCTACTACACATCGCATTCTACTTTAATAAACTCGTGTACTTAAAATGTATGCTTTAGAAAATAAATTTGAATTCCTACCGAGTCGTTTCGCATTTATTAATCGGGATTTCCGCGCTCCTCTCCTCGGTTTTTCGTGGCGTCTTCAGCCCCTCCATCTTGGACTGCGTGAATGTAACCTATCGCGAATTGCTAAATCCTTGGTAAATTCAAATAAAGCAGAGTTAAAGTAAATCCCTGTTATTTAATCGTTGAACGACGCCGTTGTTGGCAGCGGTTGATAATTTACCTGTATATGGATTTCGAGAAAAACTCAACCGATGGTTTTTCGAACAATGACTTTAGGTGCATTTCTAAACCGTCGGTAAGTGGTAATTCAAATATTCCGCCAGATGGCACGGCTGAGGTAACGTGGCCAGAGATGAGTTGGGAGAATGCTCACGGGCAGGATCGTGCGATCGCATCCTGTAACAAAGATGAGTTGGGAGATTGCTCACGGGCAGGATCGTGTGATCGAATCCTGTGCTGCCCTCTGATTTCGTACGTTAGCTTTCACCGTTTTTTGCCCCCAAGGGAGGCGCAACGAATTTCTGATAGGAGCTCGCGCACTCGCGATGACGGTACCATCTACCAGTCGCCGTTGGCGGCTCACGTATTCGTGATGGTAATACCATGCGGCAGTTGACGGTGGTGGCTTACCTACGCTTACCGACACTGCTCGCTTTTGATGGTAAGGGAAGAACACTCGTGACGCTCCATTTGACTTTATCTACTTATCTACTGCTATTAAGTACATTGTTACCTCGAAGTCGACGTGATGCGGAGCTTTGGAGCACGCGTTGTGTCGCGTACGGAACTCCATGCAGCGAATCTGTGTGAGTGCGATCGCTCCTAGAAATCATCGCGCGTCCCAACCAGCCAAGCGCCAAGCTACGGGTCGAGACGTTGAGTATGTGTGCGTTCGGCGCTACATTCGACGAGTATGCGTGAGAGTCGTATACTGCGAAAATCCTCCCGAGGATTACCTAACCCCGGATATAAGCCGAGCCATTTCGCGTATGATTTTTCTTACATTTCCCTACTAGCGTTATCAAGCGTTTTCGAGTGCGTCACGAGTGTTCTTCCCTTACCATCAAAAGCGAGCAGTGTCGGTAAGCGTAGGTAAGCCATCACCGTCAACTGCCGCGTGGTATTACCATCACGAGTCGTGAGCCGCCAACGGCGACTGGTAGATGGTACCGCCATCGTGAGTGCGCGAGCTCCTATCAGAAATTCGTTGCGCCGCCCTTGGGGGCAAAAAACGGTGAAAGCTAACGTACGAAACCTGAGGGCAGCACAGGATGCGATCGCGCGACCCTGCCCGTGAACAATCTCCCAACTCATCTCTGATCAAGGTTCTATCCGGAGGAGCGACAATGTTGCAGTACATGCAGTTTATACATACACTAAAACAAGTGCTTTATGACCACGAAGAGGTTGCGGATGGCGATTTAGTCGATTCGCACGTGGTTTATGACTCGAGAAACCTTCAACATCACCTCCGAGTGAGAAGTAACCATAATTGAATCGGAAAACATTGGGATGCAAAAGTCGAACGAGGTAGCGCGTCCGCCATTGCGCGGAAAAGCTTGCGATTTCCCTGCCAATAATTGGCATAAAAACATGCAGCAATAAACACGTAAAAACGTAATAGATTTCCAGGAATCACGGCGTAAACGTTTCCGGTTTAAATTCGCCCGGGAATGAAGGAAAAATCAAGCGGCCATCTCGCTGTGGACATTCTCACAGCAATAAACATATTAAATCCCCTGTAACTGGGAAAGAGATGACCGCGGGTCACGTGACGCCGCTTACGGCCAATCGCGACAGTACTTTCCCCTGGAGCCGGCGAGATTTCATATCGAGTAGCGAATCTCGAGTGAGTCGACACCCTGCTGCGCATTTGTGAACGCTCTCTTTGAATGGGGCTACTGTTCTCTAAAGACACTTCAGTGCCTTTGCGAGCAGAATCGCCGGCGTTCGTTACGAAATTTCCCTAGGATCCCGGCGATCGTTACGAAATTTTTCTAGGATCCCGGCGTTTGTTACGAAATTTCCCTAGTATCCCGGTGTTCGTTACAACATTTCTACAGGATCCCGATGTTCGTTACGAAATTTTCCTAGGATCCCGCATTTGTTACAGCAAAATGGCGGAAGAACAATGTCCAACGAAAACCGAAAAACTTGGCAAACGACACTTCTGTGTCGCCCTTAACGTTGGGATGGTTGCGATAAATCAAGTATTGTACGAATAAATTGCGATAGCTCGATAAATTTCCAGAATATAAAGAAAGTAAAGAACATAATGAACATAAATGGCATTTAGCATGAACTAATTGCGCCTATAGACACGCGTCTGCGTCGGCATCTGCGAAAGTCGCATAAATAAACGATCACTGGGCAGTCTCGGACAGGTTAGGGTACAATGGGTCTAACGAGTCCGAGATGGGGCTCGTGCCAAAATATTTTGGGGTCCGGTCCTTCCGGGGAGGTCCTTAATTTATACAGTTTTTCCTCGACTCCCCGATTTTCCGTGTCGGGGGATAAATCAAGCCGGAAAAGAGACATTGCCTGCGTCCCGTTTATAAACCCGCTTAAGTTTCGCGCCAAATGCTAAACCTAAATTCGGTTTATATTATTTTCTTATAACTGGGAAATTTAATGTGACAGTTTCATTGCAATAGAAATTGTGGATTAGAGGTCGGCGCGTCATTTTAACGAATTTAAAAGCGATCGTACGAGGGTGACTGGGTTTTTAATATGTAATCCTTGCAAAGGGGCGTTATAATAAGACTTATTCTTAGCGGACGGTTCTTCTCGCATTTAAACCGCGCTCTCGTACGGGGTGCACAATGGGGATAGTATTACATTGTGCAACAAGTATTTAAGGGAAAGAAAGGAGAGGAGAGAGAAAAAAAACAGCCTCTTAGGGAGTACTCGAGTCCTCAAATGGCCCGTATAGACTCGGCGCGTCCTCGAGCGACGTCGGCTGATCCTGGCAGGACCTGGTCCTTATTCCGTAATTAAAACCAAAGAGGACCACTCGAAATAGGTATTTCCCATTAATTCCAAAATTCTCTCTCCCTCTTAACCACTTAAACCCTGGAATACGTCACATGTTGCACGATTTTTCATTTTTAGCAAAAGCGATTTACAGAAAACGGTCCCACAAAATGGTAAACAAACGGATAAGCACGTTTAGAAACAAAAAGGACCACATAAAATCGACACTTCCTAAGAAATCCAAAAATCTCGCGACGCCTCACCCCTGAAATCCCACAATACGTTATTTTTCACTTTACACGCGATTTTCCTTTATCCGGGTTGGACCTATCGAGGAGGATTATGTTCCTTTTGGATGACGTCACGCCTCCTAAATCGAAAATAAGCAAATGATATTGAAAATCGAAGAGAACCACATGAGATCAATATTCCTCGTGGAATCGAAAATTTCCTACATCCTGGGGTACATTAGTTTCCACTTTTTACCCGATTTCCCCTTTTCGATCGGGGCGGATTGTGCCCTTTGTGAAATAGGTCGCTCCTCCGAAATGGAAAATAGGCGAAGCAGGTCGATCTGCATATTCGAGCCTTGTAATCCCCTTCCGGGCCTCGATTTCTGGTGGAGGAGACGATTGAAAGCCGAGATCCTGCGGAAAGCCGACACCGTTTTAACGCCTATGCGCATTGACGCCTCCTCGGCAGGGGATCGCGATTTTCGCGAAGTCCTTGCACATGACCGATTTCGAATCACTTTCCGTGGAGTGACGAAACCCCGACTTCCGGTCCCTGGGACCTTCGAGAAACACGAGTCGAGGTCTCGCCTTTACGGGGAAGAAAAACCTTACGAGGCCCTACAATGGACCTGGATGCTGGGCCGAGGAATTCCCTCCATGAATGGACCAGGGAGATCCCTCGCCAGATCCCGATCGTCGGAAACCCCGATAGGATCGATTTTCTCCAGAGATGGAATCGACCCTACGACTCGCAGCCACTCGACGGAAGGTCGCTCCTGGACCACGCGAGATCGCGGCTCACTGAACCGACCTCAATCTAGATCTCTAGATTCTCGCCGATTTTTTTCCTCCGCGGGTGGTCCTCGACCTAAATCGGCTCGTTTAAAAAATCCGGCAAAATTGGCCGAAAAGCTAAAAAATTACCTTTCACCTCTAAATACTAATCGGGAATTAATTCATCGTGCAACTCCCAGCATCATAGACTGTTTCATTTTTTACTTATGGACACAATAGAAAATCCCTTCGTTTTTTCGCGGATTTGTTTGCAGGGTACCTTTCGAAAGTGCTGAGAAACGAAATTATTTTTACTTAAGTATGCACATTATTAATTAAAGAAATTCCCTGGGAATTCAATTTCCTCCCGGACTCGTGGAACTCGAGGACCGAAAATTGTATGATTTTTTAACTCGTGGAGTTCCAGGGAATTCTCTGAGAATTCGTCCGTTTTTCGCGGATTTCCTTGCAGGGTACCTCTCGAAAGTGTTGAAAAGCGAAGGCATGAAGGGCCCTCGATAGGACCGCCAGCTTTTGAGGGATGGAACGAGGTTATTGTTGTAACCACTGTGTTCACACACTCGAAGGGCTCCTCGAGAGAGCTCTCTAAGTGCACTCCAACCTGTGCAGCTTGGGAAAGTTCCCCGTTAAAATGGTTAATGTCACTCCATACATCCGCGATAATATCGAACCGTCAATTCGTCAGCGAAGAGTCAGGAAGCTATTTTCCCTCCTTTCTCTTCCAAATCTCTCAGAGAAATATTTTTTCAAAACAGTATGCCCGACAGAAATTACAATTCGTGTAAAAAATTCTTAGCTAATATTTCGTATATTCCAGGCATCACTTATCAAAATGTCTAATTGTTAAAACACTTGAAAACGTGGGATTAAAAAGCCCGGAAAAAGAAATTAGAATTTACGTCAACAATTTTTAACTAATATTTTGTGTATCCCAGGCACCACTT